GTAGCCATTTCATATAAGGTTTAAAAATTCTATAAAATATAGTGAACTCCAGAGAGAGTCCGTGTGAGAATCTATATCCATATGAGGATAAGATGGGACCTCGTGCGTGCCGATCTAAGTCTTATATAGCTGTATATATGTCTATACGTGTATATGTATGTATATGTACACATATATATATATATATATATATATATATATATATATATATATATATATATATATATATATATATATATATATATATATATATATATGGCAGCTTGCGAGCTGTCGAACAACTAAAATTGGGCTCGAGTTCGAGCTCGTCCCAAGCTCGCACTCGTGAGCTCGAGCTCTAAAAACCCGAGTTCGATTTCGAGCCTTTATCAAGCCGACTCGTCGAGTTCGCAATCCGGCTATGCTCGTTTACCACCCCTAGTTTTGAATAATTTTACACATATCCATCACCATGTTCAGACTTATCATATGTGTTGAAACAAATGAATTGCGCAAAAATAAAACAAAATATCATCCTTGCAAATTGCAATACTTCTAAATCGACAATATTCTTTGTTATATTATTATTAAAAGTATTACAAAACCAATTATTATAAAACTAGGAAGAAATGACATAAAGCAAAGAGAGAAATGGAGAGAAGTGAAATATTATTCTCTTGTTATTTTGTGTGTACAAACTCGACTTATAAGACAGGAAAAACCATCAAATGTCATAAATTACTAGAAATTAAATAGGTCTTAAACTATTTTTTAACACCTCTATATGTACACACTAATGACTTTTGTAACTTATAGCTAGGCATCCACATAGGTTACACAACACTCCCTCTTAGATGTCTTGGACTAATGCAATATGTCTCGTTAGAAATCTTGTTAGGGAAATTTACTGGGACAAAATATGTTCGAAGGAGAAAATAGTACGTATATATCCAGACAAATTTTGCGAGCGTGACACTGGCTCGTTAAAACCTTGCTAAAAAAACTTATCGGGATAAAAACTTGGTCGAAGGCAAAATAGTACAGTGTTATAAGTAGTAATCACACTCCCCTTGATTTCGACATATGAATTTTGATCATCTTCTTAATGATGTAGTTGGCAAAACTCCGATATATGGGTATGGTAAGTTATTCTTTGACTTTGATATAGCCAACTGTATCCGCTTTAACATCCACGAGTTTTTCCATAAAAATAGTGTAATGCACATTTTACACTACTCGCATTAGAGATATATCTCGCCAACAACATAGCTTTTGGAACTTGCAATTCTTTCGTTATCTTCTCGAGGGCTTAAAAGATATTTAATTATATCCATCTCTTATGTATTATTGGAAATATTTCATTTGATAGATCTTCTTTTCGAGATAAATTTGGCCCGTCCAAGATTTCTCATCTCAAATTATGTCACCAAATAATTAACTGTCTTTATAAGCTCTTCGTGAGTCTCCACAAGATTTAGTTCATTGACATCTATACAACGATAATGGTAAGCTAAATTAGATCATTTCTTTCATGAACAAGGCATTCACTCAGGTGAATGTACCATATTTTTTTAGGATATTATAATATGTAAATTGATTATTTCTAGAGTCTAACTCACGAGACCTCTGATTATATGCACAAGGCATTATCAGTTCTTCATTAATTTTATAATCCATGTAGACATGCAGTAATTGCATCCATATGATGCATGTCAAGTATTTTGAATAATATCATAAAGTGATTGTATCATAAAAATATATTTTCAAAAAGCATTCAAATTTACGACAATTATTTAACCCATTTTGTACTAAAGGCTCCACAACTTATGTGTGTTGACTTCAAGTTAATGTACAATTCATTTTTTCGCCAATTGCAAATATTCATGGTTAGTTAGATTTGCAAATCCATATACTAATGACCAATTATATATCAACATCTATTAAAGTTCAAAATTTTTGGAAATTGCATTAATTTATAAACTTCTTGTACTAAATTCGAATACAATGAGAATTTTCAGAAAAAAATTCAATTCTTTTTTGGAACTTTCCACTAGAATGCAAGAAAATACCAAAAGAAAATCAAGAAAACACAATAAATAAAACCAAAACAACAAAATGCAAAGAGAGTTTTAATGAAATAAAAATCGCAACATACAGTTACTGATACCAATTAATATTTTCAAAGATTTTAGTTTATTTGGCCCTTTAATATTCATATTTTATTGAAAAATCGGATCGCGTGATTTCCAATAATTTTATATATGCATTTCCAATTTTATTCCAAAAAGAAAACGGAAAAATCATAAATCAAAACTTCGGAAATCGAAATGAAAAACACGGTTCCAGATTCAGATATTCTCGAATGGGAGTCAGCGGAATTCAGAAATTCTATTCCGACTACTCGCACTCAATTATACACACATAAAACAACGGTTTTTGTAGATGCTATTGCAATGTCCGTTGAAAATAAAAAACACAGTTAATTATTATTTAAAAAAAAACGAAGCCGGCTTATGCCTTCTCTTCCCCGACAGCTTATGCCTTGAAATCTGATGTTGGAAGTACGTATTGTAAGATGAAAACGTTCTGCGTCGCAGGCGGAGGTTTTCAATTTCAATTTAATGAGGGAGGCGAACGACGTCGTCGAAGGTGCTGAAGAATCGACGCTGAAAGACACTAAGTGAAAGCAGTTCTGATCCCCTAACTACGACCTCACAACAGGGGCGGGGCCCGCCTCTGGTGTTCTCGAAGGCCCGACTCGTTGGAGATGGACAGCTGCAATGTCACCTTATAGCCGATATGCAACAAAACTATGAACCGGAACCGGACTTTTGGACCCACACTCGTTTCTGAAAGTGTGTGTTGATAAAAAAAGATCAGTAAGTGGAGAATCTAAACAAATAAAGTTGATCGAGAGCACTCAGATTATTATTTATAGCTTACCTCGTTCGGACCATACACAGAAGCACCTACTTTCTTCAAAGGTTTCCCCTCTACAGTAGAATATCCATCAGCATCTTTCACAATATAAGCTGAGCCGCGCCTACCCCTATAAGAACCTATAGCATTTCATACCACCGTTAGTATGCAAACAACGTCGGCAAACGATTAAAATAATATATAAATCGAACTCTCGAGATAAAACAAACCATTGTCAGCAGAGTAATTGTTACCACGACCACTTCCAGTAGACCTATAATCACCACCACGGGCAACCGGCATGTCATGTTTCCTTTCTACACGAGTTCCTGAAAAAGTCGAAGAAACCCAAAACTTGATTACAAAACAATCGAAGGCACCTTTAGCAATTAGACGAATTTGTCAATTCCAAAGCAGTGGGTGGGTCAAAGAAAATAATCGTTTCAGTAACATATTGAATCCCGATAAAAAAATTATTTTCTTGTGTCTTGTACCTTCTGCAGGATCCACTACTTGAGATGTTTGGGAACCAGAAGATGATAACGAGTCATCGCTTGCATGTGATCCATCTGAACGTCGAAGAGGAGCCCATACACCGCGATCGGGCCTATCCTTATTCTTTGTTCGTCTTTCCTGCTTCTCCGTAGGCACAGCATACAAATCATTGTGGACTATCTTACCCTCGGAGGCCCCATTTGTATCCTTCTGCAACAACTGCATGCTCGGGGGACGAGGAGGTCTTTTGTCCTTGTCCTGAAGCGGATTCTGGACTCGCAGTTCTGACTGAGTCCCCGTTAACGGTTGACCTTGGCTAGTATCCCTGTTAAGAAGAATGCTACGTATGATCCTTCCACTAGCGTCACGCCTCGGATTTTGTTTGGAAGACGCAGAAATGTGTGAAGTTTTAGAAGGAGTTTCTGCATTTTGATGCAGTAACGAACTGCCAGAGGCCTGCGGAATAAATAGAAGATATAAATCATGGGCTTTGTTCACTGTAACCTTGAACCACTAATCTCGGCAATAAAAACTGATGACTATCGTGCAATCAAATGGACTTATTCCATGCCAGGAACATACTTATTCGACAACGATACATTAATTAGGTAGTTGCATTGTCAATGTATTGAAAGTTTGTTTCTCAGTGTGCCCACTATGCTCCATAATTGACACAAAAGAAATTATATTTCTCCATTCAGAAATTACGGTAGCTTGCTCATACTTGGACAAAAACGACTTTTCCAAGAAAAAAAGAAAAAGACTATTGTGCTGAATTTATGATTTGGAGCTGATAAGAAAAGAATTTCCTTTTTTCCACAATAAAACGCTTACATTGAATATTTCCTTTTCTTTCCCTTTCAGAAGCAGGACTTTCTTCCCAGTTCCAATGGATCCTGAGCCTCCTAAAAGAAGTCAAATTGCACCAAATTAAAGCAGTACAAAATGTTGTAACACAGGAAAAACTTGAATTTTCTATAGCAAAAGCCCCCTAGAATTTAAGACATTTTAGAATACTAGGTGCAGAAAAAGCAAGATAAAATAAATCATCGTTCTCATTCTCGCATATTAACAAAAAGGGAAATTTAAACAAAATTAGATCAACTGATTCTCATCATTATGTTTACATTAATTTCATGCTTGAACTAGTTTTTCCTCATTTTCCTTACTATAATATCCCATTGTTCGAAATGCAAAGAATAAGCCGAACTGCATAGCTGGCACGCATAACCAAGTAATATCGTTTCTTTCGAACTGTCATAAATAACACAATATTGCATCTGGCCATAATCAAAATTAATTAATAGGGAAGGTTAATATCTGTTCCAAAAATATTAATTCCAACAGCTCCCATTCCATGGTGATGATTTATAATCAAATGTTACAACCATCAGAAAATAATAATGAAGAGCATTTAAGAGGTAGGCAAGATTCCCAGTTAGCCACAATATTCTCCTTCAGTATTACATACACAATAGAATTGTATATTCTCCTAAACATGCATGATGCACCTATTAAGAGACTGCATTAAACAGATAAATAAAGCATATGGGACCTTAAAGAAATAAACAACAAATAAAGCCTGACGAGAACTCAGAGATGTAACCAATGTCCACTTTGCAGATATTACCAGAAATTCAGGTACCAAAATAAACATAGGATAACCAATGTCCACTTTGCAGATATTACCAGAAATTCAGATATATTATACAAATTAAAACTATGATAATGAAACAAAAGCAAGATGCATGTTATCATCATGGGGTAATTGAAATCCAACAACCAGACATACCTCTCTCCCCTTCCAGTGCTTCATTTCCTGACACAGCTGTTGAATTGAAAGACTTGTCGACGAGCTGTTGATCGTCTTGTTTAGAAATCAGTGAATAAGCTGAATTTTCTTTGCTGGTTACAATCTTGGAATTGTCCCTCAAAACATACTGCTCAAAATACAGTTAAGTGGAACATTAACACTACAACCATCAAATCGAGTAACACATTAAAAACTTTAATAGTATTCCGATGCTACATCACAATAGTTACGAGTGCAGAAACATGTGAACGGAATTAAAAAATAGTGCAAACAAGCAGATCAATAAGCATTTTCTTTATTAAACAAATTATAAGGTTAAATTAACAAAGCACGATCAGTTCCTTTGTGATCCGGATTCAATTTGCTTGTGACATGTAGGCCATGATGACAATTATGCACAGAACTATTTCGGGTCAACCCAACTACTAATTTCCCTTTTTGTGTGCAAATAATACACTGACATGCAACAAATGGATCCACAGCTCGAAGAATTTCGAGGTAAAGAAATCAACGACATAGGGCGGGAGTTCCAACCCCATCAAAACTATCTGATAATCAAAAGCACAATTGACTAAACAATTTACCATAGTAGTGTTAGTCCTCCTCTTCTCAGAGCCTCTTCTTGAAGAACCTGAGACTAGATTCCTGGATGGCGTCCCACCGACTCTTCTAGCTGGCTTCCCATTCAAAACAGTTCTCTGCTAAAGGTTGAATGAAAATAAGGCACATGTTTGAAATTAATTTAAGAGTTTTGCTAAAAGAGGAGGCAAGGAGAACATAGATGACCATACAATTATCCATGAAAAGATAAAAGAGACTCTATTATGCAAATAGGTCCAATAAATTCAAAATTCAATCCACATTCGAAATTAAAAGATGACTAAGACATATTTTTTTCCCAACAGGGTCAGGCTTCCCGGATCTTTCTGGTGCTGGGAGAAGTCATAGCCTCAAACAAAAACATTTAAGAAACCAGCAGAAAATATGAAAAGGAAGAATATTTTGTTGAGCAATTTATTTTTGATACTATTTCAACGCAACCACCAAAAACCTCTGACTAAGATGCCATGAACTCTATAAAATTACTATAGTACTAAGCCTTATCATGCCACTACCAGCTTGGTACCTATCGTCTGTGGTAAGTACACAATTTCGCTCACGCTTCACACATGCTTTCAAGGTCAAATCTTTTTCTTTGACCTCAGTACATATAAATGATAAATCAAAGCTACAGATTCCCAATTTTCATTCAGTTGGATCTATCTGGTTGCCCTCCAGAAAGAGTGAACGATTTTGAGGTTTTGGGGGCAGCCTTCCCGAACGATTTTAAGGGTATTCACAATACATTGCCAAAATAAGTAATATTTCTAAATTCTAATCGTATTATTTTTCATTGTTTTAACGCATAGACTTTCGAATAATAGAACCTATATCTCCAGCTCTCTAAATGAGTCGAGCTCTATTAAGTTCCTAGATTTTTTACTATTTTTCTTAACTCAAGTATATATATATAAATAAATAAAAAACACTATTAATCCCAATAAAATAAAATATCGAGCATGCAAAAAATTCTAACTAAGCCAATAAGGTATTCAAATAAAAATCAATAAATTATTTCAATAAGATATTACACTAAACACTGAAACTCAAAATCTGAAAGGAATTTTTTTTATATCAATATAAGAACAACCAATAACTTGGGGGCAACGACCCATATTTACAACCACCCCCTCCCCAGCCCCCCGACAGGCACCACTGTGTCCAGATGTGATCTATCCAGAGTGAAAATTTTCGTGAATTCATCAGGTACATCAATTCAGCTGCTAGTTTTTTTTTCTTTTAGAGGAGAAAACAAATTAGTTGCAAGAAAAAGGTGACGGAATTCTTACCCGAGCTCCACCCTTTGCAGCTCTTTTCTGACGAATATAGTCCATTAAAGGAGTAACAACGGGAACATTCTTTGGAGCACCTAAAACAAAGTGAGCATTTGATTCAACTAAAAAAACTGTTTTTACTTTATATACACATGAACATGTGTCACATGTCTGCTACATTTCAACATACGAGAGTATATATTTAAGACCAACCTGCTCGTTCTGCTTCCTTTCGCTCCAATTGTATCTCGGCACTAGGAAGATTCACAACGGGCTTTGCAATAAATTCAAGGAACTCCAAATATTCAGGATCTACACATTTTTGTCGACAAATTAGCACAAGCCATAACCGGGTGGATGAAAGCATATGAGCCACGTGCAATAAGCAGACAAAAATATTACCTTTCAATAGAGTGCCATCGCGTCCATCCTTCTTTGACCACTGCTTTGGAACACGTTGTGAAGGAGCATACTCAACAATTGCTTTAAACTGAGTTCCTATAGAGATAAAAAGAGCGGGCGTGTATTCAGTCATTGAACAAATTTTGTGAATTGTCTTACAGATAAGAAGAAGAAGAAGAAGATTCTAAACAGATAAGGTTGTCTTCATTAACTCAAAAGGGCATCAAAGGTTCAAGCAAGCATAAAACATAATGAAGCGAGAAAAACCCAAATAACCAACAGACCACCATATTTTAATCAAGATGAATGCATTCTTGAACCTTACCTTTCTCGTTGACAAAAATATGGCCATTGAAAAACTCAGCAAACTCGATAACATCTTCTGGTGTATTAAAGTCAATGTAAGCTCTAGAATATATAGGTTGCCTTGGGCTGCAAAATCAAATGTAAGACTTCAGAGAGAAAATAGAAATAGGAAATACCTTAATGATAGAGCTAGAATATCTGATACGGCACTTATTCATGGCAACAACACTTTAAGGGGGGCCTTATTGATCATGGCAAAAAGACACAGTCCCCACCAAAAAAATCTAAACAAATAGCTGCATCTTACTACTTTTCCACGATTCTAGTGCCATTTTAATACCGTCTTTTTCGACAGATTAATCATCATCCGAAGCATAAAAATTTTCAGCAAATAATTGAATACTACCATGATCACACATCCAGATTACGATAAAACTTCTTCCATTGACGCAGAAAACCATACCAAACATAAATGAGAATTGGAGACAAAACCAAACAAAAAAGACAATAAGAAACCTATAAAAAATGAGAAATTGAAACAAAACCAATGAGAAAATAACATAAGACAAAAGTCAGAGAATCCAAAACAGAAAGGTATCTTGCAACCAGACAATCCAAACCACAAAATTCATCTAATACATATGCAACTTGCATGCCAGTTCATCAGCTAGACTGAAGAATCAAATGATGAAGACCTAAGAAAGCAAAACCTTACTTAAGCTCCTAAATTTGCCGCACAAAACAAAAACTCGAAAAAAAAAATCACAGATATCGTGCAATCAATCGAATATGCACGCCTGAATCGTGTTGGATTCAGCAGAAACTTAGTAGCAGCAAACACCCTCCACGCATATAAACTTCTCAATCACATGATAAACCCGAAATTAACTATTTGTAAAACCCAGAAAATAAATAAAAATAACTCCAATTAATGCATTTAATGAGCATAAACACACCAAAAAACTTCACCTTGATTTGCCAGGTCGAAAAGCAAGCCAACCGTAGCGGCCGGAGAAGCGAGAATCAACATGCTCGACGAGGTTTGACTGAGAAATTGTTGGCGGCAAGTGCCGCAGCACCACTTTCGTTCGATCTATCGAACCCTTCATGCCCAACAAAACCCTAACACCAATTCTACAGTTAACAAATAACAGGTCACGCTTCAATTAACTCAAATTCCGGCAAGATAACAAACCCCTCAAAAAGCCCTTAAAATTACATCTCCGAAAAAGTGGTTTTCCAGCCCTAATTTTGAAATTTGGATTCCGGAGTGGCCATGCAGATAGATAGATAGAGAGAGAAGATCAAATTAGAAATTTAGAGAGAGAAGAACAAAATTGGGGGAGAGAGAGTGACGAGAGAGAATTTTGTGCGTGTATATCTCACTTTTTTCCTTTTCTTCTTCCACCTGTGTACGTTTGTACGTACTCCCTTCTGAGTACGCTTACATACAAGAATAATTTATAGTGGAAACATGTTTTTTCTTTTTTCTTCCTTTTTAGCCCTTTCTTATGGTAGAATAGAACAACTAATAACTGCGCGATAAATTAATAATTTCGATTAAATAATATTTTTTTTATTCTTGATGACGCTTTTAGTAAACGTAAGACATTTTTTTTAATTTTAACTTTTTTCCTCTCCGTGGGGGAAGGATTTCTTCACCATTTCTATAATTGCTCGAGACTGGAAAGGGGACTACATATTTTGGTGTGCTGAGAAGTTGACGGATTGACAAAAATCGGGAGATCGAGAAGCAAAAGCTGCGTTACAAGCTCTAAAGAAGGCTAAGGAAGTGGGTTGGAACTCAATTGAAGTCGAAGGTGATTATATGATGATGATTGAGGCTCTGAAAGATGGCGAACCCAACTTAACTTCATTTGGTGCACTCATTGAAGACCGTCTTGAATTCACTCGTTGGTTTCATTCGGTTTCTTTTAGTTTTATTAAGCGTATTGGGAATAGCCTTGCTAATACTATTGCAAAGTCGCATGATAGTTCTTGTACTAAAGGGTTCACCCTAAAATGAATTGCTTAAAATAATTAAATCATCAAAATATATCTATAAGTTACAAAAATCTTGATGAATAAGGATTTTTATTTTTTAGGTCCGATTTGAGATGACAGAAATAGGGATTAAACAATATTCAAATAATAAAATAAACATAAACATTCTCTATATAAATTATAAAATAAACATAAACATTCTCTATATAAATTGTGGACCAAAATGACAATTATGCTATCAATACATTAAAGTTTTTGAGGGAATGAAATGTTTAACATGATTATGGATGTTAAGTTCTACTGTCATTTGGTCACCAATGATCATGGATGGAAATGGAATGAAATTTCAAAATTTCGAATAAAAATAGGGTAAAATTCATTTTGCACCCCTGTACTATGTGAAAGGTATCATTTATCCCCATAATGTATAGAAAACATCAAACACCCCCCTATTTTTAACGGTCAATGGTCAATTTTTTAACGGTGTTAAATTTTGAGTGCGCAATGACTCTTTTACCCTGTTTTTATGTTTGATATAATTCCTAATTTTTTCTAGGCATATTTTTTGTGAATTGTTGATGATTTCTAGCGTTCGTTCAAATTAGGGTTTTTTGTCGATTTTAGAATTTGATTTGATTTTTGGTTTTCTTTTTCGAGGATTTTTCCATTATAATATGAAAAGCTTTATTTTTAATTTGCAATTCTTTCATATGGTTCGATTCCAATTTTAGGTTTCTTTTAGATTTTTTATATGGTTTGATTCCAATTTTAGTTTTCCTTTTTGTGGGTTTTACATTCATAATCTGCAAAGCTTCATCCTTAATTATCGACTATTCAACTTTTTTATAAGAAAAATGGCTGAAATTGTATAAAAAATAATTGAATAAAGTAAAAAAAAAGGGCGGAAAAACGTGAAAAAATTCGGTGAACATTTGTCAAAACGAAGCATCCTATATATAGAAATTTTTTGGGGTATTTTCGTTAAAAAAAAAAAAAGCCAACATTTCTTTGCAATAGTCGGTCAAAGGGTTTGACTAACGGAATTAGAAAAAAAACTAACGGCAGGGGGGTGTTTGATGTTTTCTATACTTCAGGGAGGTAAATGATACATTTCGCATAGTACAGGGGTGCAAAATGAATTTTGCCCATAAAAATATTTCCAAATTTCTAATAATGCGAATTTTCAATTTCGTTGGAATGAAATTGGAATAATTTAATTTTCGATCCAATTTTAATTTCAAAAATTCCAAAACAACAAACACTTATAATATCAATATTATTACATATTTTATGTTGTAACTAAAAAAAAATGATATTTCGAATTTCGCCGATCCCAACCCGAGAAATTGAACTAAAATTTGAGTTACTATGATTGATTTAAGACAACTCACATCTCAATCCCAAATTCTCAATACGAAAACACAAAGGTATGCACAGAATCGACACAGCTTCAAATCTGCCAAAACAGAGTCTAATCCCCTGCAAAAGATTTTAGTATCGTAAACGTATATCCGACAACACTCTGCCAACAACATATTCAAAACAATTTAAAATTAACAAAACATCACTTTTCTTAATCAGTATAATCTATCTTGCCTCTTTCGAAATTCTAAACATGTAACAAAAAATAGAAGGAAACGAAGTGTGTCTTCTTGCATCAGTTAAGACCAATTCTGCAAATTGGATTTCTTTTGATGAGACTAAGATCCACCTGCAAACACGAAAAAAAAGAAAAAAAAAAGTCATATAATGTAAGATAACGAAAACCTCAATAATACGCGAGAGACGAAAGTTTAGTTTTACCTTGTGGCCAAAGAGATCTCTGATGTTGTCTATCCCATAAAGTATCATAGTTGGCCTGTTAAATAAGGTGGAACGAAATAAATGAAGAGAACAAGAGACGAATAAAAATTAAATTAGTGTACAAATAGATTATACGAGTAAGCAAATTAAAATAATTCCGGTGATAAAAGTTTAGTATATACCTTTCAAGTGAAAGCCCCCATGCTATCACTTGAACATCTTCCGGAAGCCCCATAGGACGCAGCATTTCGGGTCTGAACATGCCCGAGTTTCCGATTTCCACCCATTTTTGCAGACCTTCGTGGTAACTGATTAATAATTTAAAAAAAAAAAAAAAAAAAAAAGATAATTAGCCGTATTCAATTCTAAAGCTACAGTTCATGTTGGATGATTTTGAATCGTCGTTACCTGAAGATTTCCATGCTGGGTTCAGTATAGGGATTGTAAGCGGGCTTGAACTTAAGCTTGGACATTCCTAAAATCAAGAAAAGGAAGGACCTTAGTCGGTAACCGACTGACTCGAAAAAAAAAAAAATTACGCAATCATTATCTTAATATTCGATAAAAAGGGATTTAGTTAGGGGAAACAAATAGATGATGCATCATATTTCTTGAGCTAATAAAAGATGAAAAATAAATATAATTACCTAGACGAGAGAAGAAGTCTTCAAGAACCCCTATCAAGTGTCCAAGAGTAAGCCCACGATCGCATATCAAGCCTGCATAGTACATACCACAAGAAAGTCGAATTTTATGGAGACCCGTCTCAAATTAGTTCTATGGAAAAAAAGTCAAGCACCTTCGATCTGGTGGAATTCTGCAAGATGAGTACGATCCACAGCTTCGTTTCTGAAAACACGATCTATTGAATAGTATTTCTTTGGGGCAAATTTTCCCTGGCCAAAAAGGTCGATTTTTTAATACAAACATCAGGCAGAGTAACTCGAGAATAAGTATACTGATTTCACCGTACAGAAAATCAAGAAAACAAAGTCAAAGTACACCAAGACAAGAAGTACTAACCTGAGCAAGTGCGTAAAGCATCCTGGAGGAAACAGCAGTAGTGTGAGTGCGCAGAAGATTTTTGTTTGCTTCCTCTCTCTTCCATTCGTAGCCATACCTACGTCGACAAAGAAAATTTGGTTACTTGAATTCAAGGATGAACCGGAGAAATTTATATAATGTCCATTGCGTACCCTCTGGACCCATAACCACCGGATTCGTGGACTTGTTTAACCCGCTCAACGTAATCTTCGGGTAAACTTCTTGTGGTTGAAGGCTCTGTTATACACAAACTACTGTAAGAAAAATTATGCAATTCAACACCAAGAACATAGATCGATCCAGGATGAAATTCGAATTAACCTTTCAAAAAGAAAGTATCATGTGAATCACGAGCGGGGTGTTGTTGTGGCTGGAAAAGCACATCGAAGTTCCAGAAGCTGCAAATTCGAGAAAAAAAACAAGCAAATGTTTACTACCCAACAAAAAAAACCGCGCAAAGCAAAGACTCAAAAAGAGAGAGAAGGGGAAAAAAGCAAAAAAAGAAAAAAAAAAAAGAAGCTGTCTTTAAGAGAAATGTGGATGTAAATGCATTTTATTCGGAAAGTGATGACGAGCAATGAAATCGTCAAACATCTAAATTAGTATTTATCAAACCGGGTAGACATCACTATTAAGACAAAAGGGGCTTAAAAGTATGGAACATTCTCATTTCCTGGTACTCCTACATGTTAATCATCTGACTTCAAATGGACAATTTTCTTCTATTTATTTTTGTTCACATAGATCGATATTCACAAGATGAACTAACTAATTCATGCTCTCTTAAGAAGACATGTAGTTAAGTACGGTATAAAGCTTTACTTAAGAGACTGAAATTAGTATCAGAAGTAAAAAATCACCTGCTTTCAACAAAATTGTTTGTGGCCATCTCTTCGAACCTGCATGTCACAAACCAGTGATGTGGTTAAAGAGGATAATATTTGGAAGAAAAGAAAAAAAAAAAAAAAACCAACCAGAAATACCACGCCTTACCCCATTTGAAGAAATATCAGCTGAATTTGGCGCTTCACCTGCAAGAAAAAGAAGTTCAATTGTAATTTAGCACACTTTACCACGAAAATGTTTAAGACGCTATTTTGTCCCATTTTGAGTCCCTAAATCTTAAATTTCATGCAACTAACGTAAATAATTAACCGATTGCCAGTATAAAAGTGAACGGCGGCGACTCAATGAAATAATGAATCACAGACATGCCTTGAGTAATGGATGGAGACAGCCACCATCAGTTGGCTGACCCTTTGCAAGGAAGTTATACTCTTTGAACTCAATCTCTTTCCAGTCACCCCTTCAAAAAAAAAAAAACCAGGAGATATTATGTAAACTGAACAAAGAATTGAGAGAACGATTTATTTTCAACTTATATTGTCCTACTTTCCAGATAAAGCGAGCGGAAAATTAACAGCATGATGGGAAAATGTCACTGAAAACAATAAACATCTCTGCTGCTGTGCGTCTACATCTCTAAAATGCTTAATAAAAAAAATCCACATGACAAAAACACTGTTAAGAAACCCAAAAAATACGTGTGGTTAATTACCTCTGTAGATGCTCCCGGGTTAAATCCGTAGCCATTTTTTTCCTCTTTGGAGTATAGTTGGGACCTTTCTTTACCGAAAAGCCTTTCCAGATCCTTGTATGAGAAACAAATAGTTGCAAATCGTAAAAGAAACAAAGGTAAACCCACATTTGGATTGTATAGGAGTGCAAGGAACGAGACTGAAAATATAAATTAATTAAGAAAAGAAAGAAACAGAAAACCAAAATGCATAACATTACTGGGAACTAATGAGCTTTCTTCTTTTGAGAGCATCAATATCCTGAGCGCTGACTTCCTGTTATTCAATATAGATATCAGTTGCATATTATAGGATGGTCGTAAAATTGAATTTGATTAGATTCGTGTTTCATTAAAACTAAGCCAATAAACATACAAGGACATTAATAAGCTCCAATAATGCCCTTTATCACCTACAAAACTGCAAGCATGCACACAAACACGGGACACAGGACACAAACAATCTGCATGCAGGGACCTTACTAAAACTTCAGATAATATCCCACTGTTTCCAAGTCCAGTAAATATTACCTCTATTATATCGATACTATTTCCATTCCATGACTGAATCAATGAATCAAAGGAACAAATAGATTCCAAACGTTGCCTTGTCGACAACCTGCTACTTTGAATCAAATTTCATTGATTTTTTTTATTTTTTGAATGTTTCGCTAAAACTAGCAACTCTACATCAAAACAATGGATAATATAAGATGCAGAGAGTTGACATCACGGGACTGTGGAATTATTATTATCAAACATTATCAGTATAAACAAGCTTTGTTTACTTCCTTGGTAAAGATACTACTTTCTATTAGAATTATATGTCCAAATCAACACTTGCAAAATTATGTCTGCAAACTTTAGGAACTGATATGATTAAAACTTGATAAAATCTAACGATCTGCTGTAACTGGCAACGCAGCACACATGTAGTCAACCACCTAGACATCCATATACACATACATAAAAAGAGGCAAAGAAAAGGAGCAGAGTACTTTACACACCTCGCCTTTTTGAATCTGCACGAGCAAGTCTCTCACTCTGTCATCAACATGTTGCACCTATATCAAGAAATCATACTAAGAACAGTTCTACATGTATTACAATTTATTAAAATATAAAGTTAGCCCTACAGTCACAAAATTAGACATCTATTTAATAACAGGTAATATAACCACCTGCTTCATGAAGTATCTTTTGACCAAATCATAACACAGCAACATAAGGGACAATTTATTGAGACGCCACATTGATTATAAGTACACAAGAGTAAGCATAACAACAGCCCATTTTTCGTGTAAAAAAAATGTTGAATGCAAGTAAGAAAGATTCCATGAATCACTATTTCATTAAGACTCAAACATAATAGAGAAGATTAAAAAACATGTATATAAGAAACTACTCAAAATATGAGTGAGAAAGGAAGACCACTGAAAATCACAAATAAAGTTCATTTCTTATTGTTTGGATAGGATAAATGTCAAAGAGGGAAAAACAAATTAACACGAACACTTTCAACTTTGTTTTATAAAAAATCACAGTATAAATATTTTAAAAACTTAGAACATTGTTTGCATGCCATTTTCATCTCGTTATACAGAATGGGGAAGGAAAATTAAGTCCCTACAGTTCCTTCCTTGCCTTTGAATTCTTCTCACTCCTATCAAGACACAGTCAGCATTTTCTTTGAATTGGTTTAGAAATAAACATCCTCTTTAAATATACACACACACACACACACACACACACACACACCTTACGTCCACAAATTTAGACAAAAGGTCTGGCTGATGATAGTATAAATCAATGTGCATCTTTATTTCAAAAATAGGAGCAGGTGCAAGCATGATAAAAAAAAAAAAAAAATTAATACATTTACAGCTATACTTTGTTCAGAAATTGAGTAAGTATAAAAGTAAGTTAAGCACGGCACTTTTCTGTACAAAGTAAGACTGTAAGAGACTAAGAGTATCTTTCCTCAGGAAAAAATAGAAAAAAACTGATTGACCAAGAAAAAGCAAAATGTTTTATATCTTATGTGAAACAACCATCAACTAGAAAATAAATTTGAAAGCTAAGTTCTCTAGACTGTCACTACTACCTTTCTTGATACTGCTGACTTTCCCATTTCAATCCATTTGTTTTTTATGGCCTGTGTACAGCCTATTTTGTAAATAGATGGCTCAAACTTCCCCTGTTTAAGAAAAAAAATAACAATAAAATAAGCAGCATGTCTTTTAGGTGTGAAAGAGCATATAAATAGTAAATAAAACCCAGACATGATTCAACCAGAAAGAGATAAACAATCATAGAAATATTTTACAGTGCAAAGCAACATTTAGTCAATAGAAACATGTAGCAATCGATGAAATATAGTGAAGTTGGAAGTTAGCTCAACTGTATAATAAGAAGTTTAATTTTACATCTCAAAACCAAGTCACTTGGCACAGATAAACAATAAAGGAAAATTTGAGAGCGGAAAAGCAACTAATTGTGAGCCAGCTCAGTACGCGTCTGGCTTCTCGGGAGCTT